GTTTCAGGGTTTCAAATGAACACTTTTTTTATTTTGTCCAAACTAATAGTCATGGAAATAAAAATGCTAGAAAGTTGATTTTCGTGTTCGGTTACATGTGTGAGCCACTGTATGTAGAGCCAAAATTCACTACATTTTGATGAACTTAAATTTGAATCTGAATATGAAACTCTAGATACAATTAGCAATAAATTGAATTATATGAGAAAATATCTACAGTTAATTAAGAATAGTCATAAAAAAATAAAAGTGAATGAAATTTTGATAGAATTTAAATTGTTAACTATAGTTGATATATTTAATTCAGTTTGGATATTTTATTTAATTAGTTCTAAAAATAAACACAACAGAAAGTGCAAATTATTCTTGAATATGAAATATTCAAAAAGTAGTAAGGTATCTTAAAACACAGTTAATATCATAGAATATCAATATAAAGACCACTCAATTATTATATTTTACAGTAGTTATCTATTTTTTCAAATAATGGAATGAAAAAATTTGAAAACGTAGTACGTAAATTACTAAACTATCGCTATGGACCGGGACCTCTGATTTAACGGGATGCACTCCTTGTTACGTATATATATACCACAAATTTTAATACTATACAAAGATTATATACATGTAAGTTTTTTTATTTGATCAAATTGATTTTTTACTTTTATATTATTCTTATCGTTTTAAAAACATATTGCGTAGACAATTAAAATGTATTCAGAACGAATGCAAAATGGTAATATAATATAGATTGTAAACAAGATGAATTTACTCAAAATAACTGTCGTGTTTTCTGGTCCATGGCACAAAAATCACTTTTACTGGAAGTTATAGGAGCAGCTGGATATAAAATAATTTTTTATCTTGACTATCAAATTATATGAAGATGTGCAGCTGCTTTGATGAATATCAATATTCTAGATGCATGTTTTGAATAGTTAAACTTTTTATCCATTTTCTTACTGGTGAAATTAAAAGTTTGTTGCCCAGATATTCAAATTTTTTGACCAAAAAACTTCCTAATAAATATTTTCCAGAACTAGTTTATACATGTAATCGCTTTATCGTTAATAATATTAGAGTCAAAGTAAGTACGTACGTATATAAATTTTTAATGAAATATAAAATACGAGTTTGTTAGTTTACGTATACAGTACGTATACACGGAAGAGAAAATGTTCAATTTATGACTTGCATTTATCGTTATTGCATTAATAATTAATGAATGTTTACGTATCGTAAATTATATTATCGTAACACCATGCTTTGTTTAACATTCACAACATTCTTTTTGCACATTTACGGTTAATCGTTTTCGTTCAATAATCGACATAATATTTATCTTTTAGCAAATACCGATACGTTTCAAACTATAACAACAACAACAACACTAATATCGATATAATATTGTTAGCTAAAAATCAATATCGATATACAAACAAGCAGGCACGCTCGTAAAACTATAATTTCGTTGAATCCAATCAAAATAATCTCTAAAACCAAAAAAATGTTAGCAAAAACAATTTTACAAAAATCCACATCTTCAAAATCAACTACCACAAATATAACCACAACAACACACACAACAACTTCCTTTTTAGGAAGTTTATCAACGGACCTTTGTTCACTGTTGGAGGATGCGGATGATTTTAATGTGTTAATCAAAGTTGGTCAAGATCCAAATATTCGTGAATTTAGGGCGCATTCAGTTTTATTACGTGCTAGATCGGCTTATTTCAGACGAGCATTATCGAGGGATTGGGCTAAAATGGAAGGGAATTGCATCGTGTTTAATAAATCTAACATTTCGTCGGATGTTTTCGAAATTATTTTAAAGTTTGTTTCATTCACTATTTGAAATTGTCGCTTTTACCGCAATAAAAATTATTCATGTATGCTAATCATTTTTTTTATATAGTTATTTGTATACGGGTACGATAACATTATCTGGACAAGATGCAGACTGGTTACTTGATTTGTTGATGGCAGTTGATGAATTATGTCTAAAAGAATTACTGGATTTCGTTCAAGATCAATTAGTTCAAAATCAATCAAGTTGGCTGAAAATGAACTTCAAAAAAATTTATGAAATGGCATTTAATCACCCGGCACTCACGACTCTTCAAGATCATTGCCGACAAATTATTTGCGACGACCCGGAATCAAAATTCAAATCTGATATGTTACAATTATTGGTAATTTATAAATGTTTGTTAATTTTCAGATTAAAAATCATGAATTAAATGAATTACGTTATTCTCTTTCGTCCAGGATGAAAATGTTTTGGTATCGATACTACAACGTGATGACCTCAATTTGACAGAAATACGTACTTGGGAGACTATAATTAATTGGGGCATTGTACAAAATCCGCGTCTAGATCCAGAAGATCTTAAAAATTGGACATCTGAAGATTTTGTTACATTAGCCACAACATTAGAAAGATGTATTCCACTTGTTCGTTATCTTCAAATCTCACCAGCTGATATGTTTAATAAAGTTTTACCATACAAAGATATTCTACCGAATGACATTTTTCAAGATATTCTACGATCGCAGTTTATTCCGAGTGCGCCGGCGGCATCGCCATCATGCAAAGCTCGTCCTCGTGGGGCTATCGACTCGAAATTAATTTCAAGAGGACATTTAGCCATAATATCAAATTGGATAGACGGAAAAAGTAGCACTCCAAAATCAATCAACGATCTCTTTCATGAATTCGAATTACTATTGCGAGGAAGCCAAGATGGATTCATGGCGCACACATTTCATCATAAGTGTAATAACCAAGGCGAGACTGTTGTATTACTGAAAATTCAAGGTACCGGACAATTGATTGGCGGATACAATGACGTTCCGTGGAGTAATGTTGGTGGATGGGTTCCATCTCATAAAAGTTTTATTTTTTCATTGGGTGATGGAACAAATTTATCTGACATTATTTTGAGCCGTGTGCACACACCACATTTTGCTATCTATGATAGTAGTGATCGTGGTCCAATATTTGGTAGTTGGGATTTGGGAATGGGCGCATACGATCATCCATTTGATAACGAAGCTTCTTGCAATTGTCAACAACATCATTACGAACGAAATATTATGGAGTCGACTGACCGATTCGCCGTCGAAGAATATGAAGTTTTTCGAGTTGATAGGAAAATCGATTGGGTAAAATAATTAATACTCTCTAACCGATTTGCGTTTTTTTTTAATTTATAGTAATTGGACATTTGAACTAAGTTTAGTTTTATTTAAGATATTTATTCAAAAATAGAATTTATTACATGTATTTAATTTAGAACCACATATTTTTGTATGTATTTCTTTATGTGTACACGAGAAAATTTATGTTGGATAATTCAGAGTACGTATTTATTTTGCTCAACTTTTAAGAAATATATGTACATGTATTATTTTTGTCTTTAGTGATATTTATGTATAACTAAATAACTAAACGTAAATAAATAATATCAATATACATATGCATACGTATTATTAGCGTTAAGATGCATTTATCGTGTTCTTTCCCTTTGAGTGAAACATTTGTTCTTATCGTTATGTAATAACGATAAATGTATAAATAAAAGAATACGAGAGAAATCAGAAGTACATGTACATGATAATGATAGTCAAATCTACAGCATCGATTTCCGATATCGATACACGTTCAGTTTACGTATCTTCACGTTCATGTGATCATTACCCAGGAGGTTTAGCTATTTTTTTTTATCCTGAATGTTTACCGGAAATTCAATAACGGCAGATACAATTGTGCAATTTTTATCGTTATTACCAAACTTTATTTTAAAATGATAAATTTTCTCAAAATTCTAAGTCTCAGCGATTGGATTACGATTCTATTAGTTACTATAATCCTTTACATTTCACTTTACTATTATGAATACTACACCCGTGATAATCCTCTTCCAGGTCCATTTCCATTACCAATTATCGGTAGTCTTTATCAAAATCCCGGTAGCAACTTGGCTAAATGGATTTACGATCTCGCCAAAATCCACGGTGAAATTTTCGAAATCTGGGTCGGCCCACAACGTCAGATAATACTAAGCAGCGCGGAATTAATTGAGCAACTTAATGTCCCATCCACCAAAAGCAATTTCATTATTCGTTATGCATTTCACGAAGGTTTAGAAGCCTGGGGAACTGATACCGGGATTACGTTTAATCGTAATATTGAAAGTTGGCGATTTAATCGAAAATATTTTGATTATGCGGTGACGAATCCAGCATATCTTTATGGAACTATTGAAAGAATGCAGGAATATTTCAAGGAAATGCAAGGGTATTGGAAGGAATTAGGTTCAGATTGTGTTTTGGATTTGAACGCTTGGATTTATCACATTGCATCGGATATTATTTTTTTCAATACGACTGGAAGAAAGTTTCATTTCATGGCTAAATATTTTAATGTTCTTTCTACTGGAAAGAAAATCGATATTGAAGATTCGCATATTACTGAGAAAATATTCAAAGGATTTGAGAATGCCTTTAAAGCGATATTTTTCTTAATTACGACACATTCGTTATTGAGACATACAATTTATAGGAAACAAAATAAGGAGCACCTTAAAGCCCAGGATCAATTGAGGAGGTTATTGTGTGAGCTCATTCAAGAACGAAGAAAAGAAATAGAAAATACGCCAGTCGATGAACCATTGAAACCAGATATAATGAATTTGTTAATCACGGCAAATACAGAACGCGACATTTCACATAATACGAATGATTATTTGAATAGACCTTTGACTGATGATGCAATACAGATGAGTTTATTCGAATCTATCGCTGCGTCAACTTCAACTGTGTGTTCTTTATCTTTATGGTTATTTTTTTTGCGAAATTTCTTAATATTAATTATTATCGTCATTCTTTGTTAAAAAAAAAGAGTGTTGCTGCCTTCATATTTGTTGTTGAATATGTCGGTAGACATCCGGAAGTAGAAGCAAAAATTAGAACAGAGATTAATTCGTTTTTTTCGGATAATCCGAATCGCGTTGTCACCTATGGTAATTTGAACGAATTCAAATATATCGAGGCTGTATATTATGAAAGTAAGTCATTTCAATTTTGTTCTTACCATTTTGTGCAGCAATATTAAACTAACAAAAATTTTTCAGCAACTCGTATAAACACCGCAGTGCCATTTATGTTCCGCACAAATCAACGTGAAGATGTAATAGCCGGTTATCGATGGAAACCCGATACACAATTCGTGGTGAATTACCAAGCACCTCATCGCAACGAAAAACACTTCACCGATCCCGAAAAATTTATACCAGAAAGATTTATCAATGACGGTAGTGACGAAAAGGGTACCTTCAAAAAAGCGTTTTATCCATGGGGTGGTGGACTACACATTTGTCCCGCGAGAAATATCGGTCTTGCTTATGTGAAGATGCTATTGGTTTTGTTGTATCGTAATTATGAGGTTAAGTTGGTTAATGCGGATAAGCCGATACAAACTTACCATGATTTTATTACTCAATGTGCTGACACGAGGGCTTATTTGAAGCCTATATAGGATAAATTAGTTGCCCGAATCGTTCAATCCGTAATCCGGATTTGACCGACTGATTATAACAATCGATTTGGGAGATTTAATCGATACTAATAAGTTATATTTTGAACTTTTTTATATTTTAGGTATAGTTGATATAATTACATACATTTAACAATAAAATAAAATTTAGTTCATTTATTTGATTAAATAAAATAATTTATACTACACGCACTCGGAACGTTCAAATGATCCGATTTCTCATTAATGAATCATTTCCGAATATTAAATATCTTGATTCATCACTCCAAATTACTGATTCCCATTCACGAACCCAATCTTTTCTCTCTAGCCACCATTTTAATCGTTTTTGACGGTTGCCTTGGATATAAAAGGTTTTTTTTTACAATATTAATTATTCTTCGGGTGGCTCTAGAATTTAATATTCGTGGTCTACCGCGTCCGGCCAAACTTTTTAGATTTGTGTGTAACGTTATGAACTGTGGATTTGGGTCGTCCTAGAGTTTCTTTTTCGGAAAAACCACACTTCCAAGCACCGATTATCTCGTCACGCTCAAAATCCGTAATTTGGCAATGTTGGACTTTTGTGTGTTGTCCACTGAGTGTACATGTATATGTACGTACATGCATCAATAGCGATAGATGAGTTAATGATCTTTTATCGTTATCGTTATCATTACGAGATTTTAAACCAGCAATTACGTATCAAAATTTCAAACCTTGTATCAATGTTAGCTTCATTGAACCTGCTAGATTTTTTCAATATTCTTTTTGTTCTATTGATTCTCTATGTTGTTCGATTCTACATTGTTTACTTTACACGTGAAAATCCTCTTCCAGGACCATTTCCTTTACCCATTATCGGGAGTTTATACCAATTACAAGGTGGAACGGCCCCTTGGTTATTACAGCTTCATAAGAGATACGGAGACATATTTGAAATTTGGTTCGGTCCCAAACGTAAAATATTGCTAAACAAAGCGGAACTAATTGAAAAAATTACAATGAAATCAACACAGAGCAATTTTCTTGTACGATTGATAATTGGCTCGAATAAAGGATTAGACTACTACGCTAATCCACGGAGGGGAATGTTTTTTAATGGAAATATTTCACATTGGAGATCAACTCGTAAAGTGATTGATAATTTATTATTGTCACAAAGTTTTCAGCGCGAGGCTTTAAAAAAATCTCAAATTTATTTCGCGGAGATGGAAGAATATTGGAAACTATTTGGATATGATAACGCATTACTTTTATCCAAATGGGCAAATAAGTTTTTAACGGATTTAATGTACGACTTGAATATTGGAAGACGCTGCTATTTTATGGCGCAGTATTTCAATTCCCTTATAAATTCGGGAAAGAAGGAAATATCGGCAGAGGAATTGAAGTTTTGTGATGATCACACAAAAGGAAACTCGATTGTAGGAGAAGCGATCATGTTCTTTGCTTTGTCACCCGAATTGGTATGGCGGTATATTTTCGCTCACAAAACCAAACGATATATTCAATCTCGTGAGACTTTGCATAGATGCTACGAGGAACTTATTCGTCAACGTCTTGATCAACGAGCACAAAGTGGTTATGACTCTAAATTAAAGCCAGATGTGTTGAATCTTCTACTTGATTCAAAAGAAGAGCCTGTATTGAATAAAAATGGCGAGGAAAATTATCGCATGGATGATGATGATATTCGGGACTCCTTAGAAGAGGTTATGAATGGCTCCGCTACGGTAAGGTTTTAACATTGGATTTTATTAATAATTCCTTTAATTGATATATATTATCATAATTGAAATTACAGACATCTGGTGTTTTCGGATATATTATAGAATATATTGAACGAAATCCCCGAGTTAAAGAACAAGTCGAAAAAGAATTTCGAGATTTTGCAGTTTCAAAAACCAATACAATAAATATTGAAGAACTTGCACAATTTAAATATATCGAAGCGGTAATCTGGGAAGGTAAGAATTTTACATTGTTTTATTCATAAACTTGAAGGAAGTTTCACAAATTTTTTGTCAATCCAAATAGTTCTTCGCGTAAGATCCGTATTTATGCTCGAAAGAACAAATACCCAAGAAGAAACAATCGCCGGATACAAATGGAAAACAGGCACCAGATTCTGTGTCCATATTCCACCAATCCATTTTAACCCGAATATCTGGCAAGATCCTAACGAATTTAGACCAGAAAGATTCCTGACCAAGGAAACTAAAAATCCAAATACTTATCTCTCTTTTGGTATGGGATTGCGAATATGCCCTGGACGATCTGTAGCAATACTTTTCTTGAAAACGATGACGATTTTGTTATATCGCAAGTATAATGTGCAGCTACTTGATATTGACTTGCCCATAAAACATCGAAATAGTTTCACTAATGATTGTCTTGGAGCTAGGGTTAAATTAACACCAAAGGAATAGTAAACAAAATTTTATTACGAATATGATATTATATATTAGACAATAGCGATAGTGATTGTTGGTGGTTGTTGGTTTTATATACGTATGAACAGCATATCGTGTTGTTGCGGTGATTGCGATGCCGTTTGTTGTTGGATTGTTGATTTCTATTACATGTATAATTTCTTAAAAAGAACTGGAGTGCATCAATTAATGGTAATGGCTTTTAGTGCGTATAAAGATAGTAAGACAATAAAAAATCTTACCAAAGCATAGTGTAGATATCTCAGCGGCAAGACCCCACCAAACAAAGCAAATGAATTTAAAATAAATTAGTGTTACTTTGGTTTTCATGCTTATTATAAATATTGCTACGTACTTGCTGTTTTTGACCTATAACGATAAAAGCAAAGAAAAGCACAAAATCAATCATTTAATCCGATAACAAACAAGTTTACGAAATAATCAAGTTTTACCTTTGTTCGGTCTCGACCGTGACCAAAAAACTTTTAGGACGTACAAAGACCATACCATACAATAAAAAGCTGCATTACTATCACTTGGAGATTTAGAAGGCGATGAGGTTGCTATATAAAAATAATTAATAATAATTATTCCTGATTTTGAATTCAAGTTATGAAAATTGTGTGATTATAGACTTATATCGAAATTAATGTAAGGTTCTCTCTACTATGCTTTGGCGGTATTCCGAAATATGTCCATACAGTTTTCTTAATTGATCTTGTGTATGCAAAGTTGAATGCTATTAATCAAAAAGGAGTTGAATCTAACTGTTTTTCAGCGAATAAAGGAATCGTGAGTTTTCTTACGAGATCATACTATATAAATAAATGCCAAAAAGAAAGTTAGTTAGTGTAAAGTAGAAATAAGATATCTGAATTTTTATTTCTGAATTAAATATATTATTTAATATAACATCTTGCATTTATGTGTGCAAAATAAAAATAAAATTTTATCCCGCGTCAACAGCTTGAAGAACCAAATTTTCTCGGATTGGAAGAATTAAATTTAGAATCGGTGATTATACTCCAAAAACTCAGACCAAAAATCCTTTTTTTGCGGACCATCTAGTGGATTTGTCTTAAAACGACTGTGATATTGTTCAGAAGGGTATTGATTGCGTACAAACATCAGATTCTGTGGAATCTTATCATACATGTACATGTAATAGGTTTAACCCGATTTTACTTATATCGATATAGTAACGGTAATGACAAGGACATTATTTAAATAATTACCAACGAACTTGCGAGTCATTTGAAAAGAGAAAGCTAGCATTTATTTCAGTAAATTCACAAGATAGAGTTCCATAAGAATAGCAAATTAGATCAAAATACAGAAAAGAAGAGCGCAAAAAAATCTGGAATTGGCAAATACTCCGCTTGTTGCTTGATTACCGGGTTATCATTTGTTATGTCAACTGCAAGGATAGCTAAATCCCCTGACAACGTCGTCGCTATTATCAATATCATTGTACATGCACAAAGGATCAAATGAATTGGTTACTTCTTCAATGTCCTCGAAAAATTTCGTCAAGATACATTTTCTTATTTATTGATTATATTTGTTATTTGTTATAAATATATTCCTCACAACATTATATTGATCGAGAGATACATGCATATACTTATATCAATATGTATAATCATCAAATCATTTACCAAACTTCTTAACGCTAAAATTTTTCCGTAACGGTAACGGTAATTCACAAGAAAAGTTCATTTATTTAATAATATCGATATACAACATTACGTACCATTTACGATTAGCGTTAGTAATAAAAGATTAAGTAATTACACGTTTCTACATTTGATGTCAATTAAATCATATCATAACGTCTGGATTTTCTTGTGGACAAAGGAAAAAATATAACGATTATAATTAGGGTCTGTGGGATTGATTCGAAACAGATAGTCGGAGATTACGTGTTGTTTAAGATTTAATGTCAAGTTTTATTGAACGAGGCGAAGTCACCATAATGATATGTTTTCCGTATTTGTTCAGTACCTTATGAAAGATATAATGGATCGTTATTCATTCATTTATTTCCAAATCAGCTTTCAACCGTAAATTTAAATTCACTGAAGATAATATCTCTACTATTACTTCTTAACAATCCATTAAAATTCGTTAAAGATAAAGAATAAAACCTGGTTAATAACGATAATAATAAGATACACGATAACTGACGTTGTTGCATCGATTACTTTCAGCACTTTAATAAGACGATGCGTCAACTATTCATGCCTCGCCATCGGTTCCTACATGGAAGTCTTATTAGAAAAAATTATTGTCCATGTTGAAAAAGAAAATTTGGCATTGGAAAGATAGCCATATTTAAACACACCATTGTGTTTAACTGGACCTTTTTTGCAAAGCAAGAATATTCAAACCAATAAATATTCAAACCAATTAACTTTACGCGTAAATTTTGTAACATAAAATAAGCATTATTCACTCTTCCATTTAATATTAACATTTCTTTGGGAGGGGTAATATTGATTTCGTCATAAGTTTTTCAATTAGTCTGGATTAATTTGCGCGTCGGGCCGAGCAAATGCCGCTGTGTTT